CTCTCCCCTGGGCAGGGGCTCCTCCCCTACCCCATGCTGGGTCCAAGTTGGTGCAGGGAGGCAATTTTCCAATGAACCTTTCTTCTACCCATCACCTTCTCCACAAGTTGTATACCTACCCATCCTTTTACCCACCTCTGCCATCTCATTTCTTTCTCTGACAGGCATGATGGGGACAAACGCTGGGATGAAGAGCGGTAGGTAGCTTGGAGTCACAAGGCCCTGAGTTCAAATCTCAGCTCAGCCACTTCTTGGCCCAATATCTTCCAATGAACAACTTGGACTCTATTTTTATTTTTTAAGGCCGAATATTAAGGGGGCAGCCCTAAAAGTGTTTTCACTGGATTGCTGTAAAGAATGAAGACAATGAATTATGTCCACAGGGCTCCCATGGCCCCAACTTCTGTGGCTTCAAAAGGAGCACACCCTCAAAAGTCTTCATGGCTGTGTACAGTATTTGCCCTCCAAAAGCTTCCAGGCAAAACTCACCTAGCCTCAGCTGGCTGTCATGATCAAACAAATAGGAATGACCTCAAGAATACCCAGCTGGCCAGGCAGAGTCCACCAGTGACCTGTCTCCTGTGCACATCCTGGGGGGCACCCCAAAATGGAAAGCAATGGGGTCAGTCCAGAGCAATCCCGCCAGAGTGGGCCCTGTACACAGGTGTCTGGAATGATGTGAGGAACCCCAGACACTCTGTAGTAGGCCAGACATCCGCTGCTTGTCACTGGGCCTGCTACCGACAGTCAAACCTCAGTCCTCCAGCATTGAGTGGCTACCATCTCCAGGATCATGCAAAGCAAAGGGCTTCATTCCTTTGGGTTTTTTCTTACCCTTCTTAAGCATTTTCTTTTAAAATGCAAATGGCCTCTGGGAAGAGCAATGCAATAATTGCTAACACCCCAGATTGGATTAATTGGCGGTGGGGGGAGGGTCTGTTCTTGTAAGACTGCTGAGGACTGGGTATCTGTAGCAAAAAGGGGAGCTCAAGTTCAGAGGTGACTGCAGAACTAAGGACCAAGACAGAGCAACAACCTGGCCTTTTTCGGGGGTGAATTCCTAGGGCCACATTGACTCCTCCCTTTATCCTTCCACCAAGACAAGCATCCCAGTGGCCCCCATAAACAGCAGCAGTCCCCAGAATGCAGCTGGCAAGGAGAGCCGCGTTCCGTGGGAGAGAGCAGCCAGGGGCTGGGCGGCCTTGGCCCCAGCGCAGAGGGGCTGGGCCTGCCTTTCACCATCTCCAGGCTGAGGACGCCCTGAACCAGTGCCTACTCGCTCCCCAACAAGTCCGGGGCTTGGAGTTCAGGTAATTAGGCCCTTGGCATTCTCACCTGAGACCGCCAATAAAACGGAGACAATCACCCTCAGCCCCTGTTCAGGAGGGAGAGGGGAAAGAAGGGGGGAGGGAAGAAGGAAAGCTTTTTTTCTATGCTGAATTCAAGGCTTGGCAACCAGACAGGAGATTATTAGTCTATAAGCAACCATTCCAAACACCCAATACCCACTTCAAACCCAGGGCTGTCCCTGCCTCATGTCACCCCCAGCTACCCAGGGCTGGTGCTCCCACAGAGTGAAGACCTTTCTTTAACCATCTCTCAGTGCCCAGCAGGTACCTGGCATGCAAACCAGACTTTCTTTTTCCCCTAAATAATAAACTTGCGTGCTTCTTGTGTGTGATCACACGGATGTGGGATACCTGGCCCTTTTTAATCCCTTGGTCACTTATGCTCACAATAAGATGCATGGTAGATGGGGGAGAATATATATACCGATAGTAGTTGCCATTTATGGAATGCTTGCCAGGGGGCTAGCTTAAGTATGAGGATTATGTCATTTAAAGTTTCCTAAGCCATAAGTACTATTATTACCCCAATTTACAAACAAGGAAACTGAGGCTAAGAAAGAAATTCTGAAATTTGCCCCAGGTCACACCGAAGTTTTAATGAATACTTATTTAATTGAACTGATGGTTCCCATTCTTTGTCAAGAACTAGTAGGAAGAAGTGGGGGGAGGGGATCTGCCCCCAAAGACTCCTATCCGAGCTCACCAACAGGTAAGCAGAAGGTGGAGCAGGGGGACAAGCTCTGCTCCTCCCTCCTCTCCTTTCTTGAGTGCAACAGGTGCAGCTAGCCTGAAAATGTTTTGGGGCCATCTCTCCAGTGGCTCACTCCTCCACAGTCTCTGGGGTCCTGGAAGCTCTCAAGGATCCCGAATTTTCCCCCTGCCTCTGTTTTCTCTAACGTGGGCCGCTATCGGCCACAACTAGGGTTTCCAGCTCCTCGACTCTCCTCTCCTGGGGAGAGGTCTGGCCGAATAGGGAGGGGGTGCATCGCGGCAGCATCCTCAGGAGTGGAGGTGGACCGCCCGCAGGTCTCCCGCCGCCTTCCCACCACCCCCGCAGGTTGAGCTGTGCCTCGCGCAGGGAAACAAGGGCAGTGCAGTCAATACGGTGGCCTGCAGCTGGCCCAAGGCCGCGGCCCCGGCGGCGTCTGCTGGCCCCTGTCAGGAACCCGCGGAGACCCCTGCCACCTCCCGGTGCCCGCGCAGCAGGAAGCGCCGCCGAGGGGCCAGGTGCAGGCGACACTCGCCAGTCACCGCCACTCGCCGCTTCTCCCTTGCCGCCAGGCTCTGCGGCCAGAGGCCGGAGCCGCCGGCTCATTTTTCACGCCCCCCAGACCGCCTCTCTAGGTGACGCTAGAGTCTGTGCGGTTCCTTTAAAGGCTGCGGGTTCCGTTCTTCTTTCCTTTTCCACTGGATGCCAAAATATGCAAATCCGGGGACCGGAATCAGCAGCCAAATCGAGGAGAAGGGGCGCGGCCGGCGCGTCACCGGATCCGCTCCTTGTATGGCTCTTCCCGGCTTGGCCCGCCGCCCCGCGACCCTCCCTGCAGCCGCTAGGGCCCTTCCCCCGCCCCGCCGGGCTCACACTGCCGCCCACGCCCCCGGGCCGGCCGCTCGCCCCCCTAGGGAGGGAGCCGGGGGCGGGAGGCGCTGCATGCCCTGATTCCGGCCGGAGCCGGGGACCGCCGCAGAGCGCTCCCTCCCCGCGCCGCGCAGGCGGAGGAGAGCCCGGGGGCGCAGCGCCTCCCCTGTATAGGTGTGGGGAGACTGGCGCGAGCGGCGGCCGGGGTGGGGTGGGGTGAGGGGGCTCGCGGGCGGTGGGAATCCCTCCTTTCCCAAGAACCAGAGAAGATCCGGGGGAGGCCGGGCCCTCCCTCCCCCGGTTCTCCGCCGAGCCGAGGGGAGGGGAGCGAGGTTGTCATCCACCCCCACCACGATAAGCAGCTCGGGAGTTCCTCCCACACGTCCCCGGCCCGCGTGGCCCTCCCACAGAGTGAGGCCCGGGGATCCTCTCTTCCTCCTTGTCAACACTCCCACTCCCCCTGAGAAATGCACGTTCCCCCAACCCCGACTCCCCAGCGCGCGGGGGGGGGGGCGGTTGGAGGGGAGGAAGGAGGGGATGCGGGATTCACCGCGCCCACACGGCCACCGAGGAGGGAATCCTCCCACGCCAAGCCGGTGCCGGTGTGATTCGGGGTCGCTCCCCCACGCTCCCTTTCTCTCCTCCCGCTCTCCCGGGGCCCGGCCGCGCGCGCTCCCGGAGCAGGCCTCGGGGAACGTAGCAGCCGCCCCCGGGATCTGCTGCCGCTCCGGGAGGTGACAGCGTTCCGGTCTGCAAACAGGAGGCCCTTGACTGCAGGGCGCCGGCAGGCAGCGATGGGGACAGCCCTGTGGAAGGCGAGGGGGAGGGCAGAGACTAGAGGAGGTGGCTCAGAGACTGTGGGTTCGGCTTGCTCCTGCTGCAACTCAGTGGCGGGCCCTTCGCAGGCAGCAACAAACAGCGACAGCGCCTGGGCCTGCCGGGCCCTCCTGCCATCCCGTGGCCAAAGGGGTGCTTTGGAACCGTTAGGGAATCATCAGGGATTTGGTGCACATGTTTCCTATCCCCTCAACTTCATTCCTACTTCTTTGCCACCCAAACCGCACACCCCCAACCCCAAAAGCGCGGGGCTCTAGCCTCCGAGGCAGCCACGCTTTAGCCACCAAGGTCTCCAGCCGCTGCGCTCGGCGGGGAGTCAGCGCAGGGTCAGGGCCCCAGGGAGCGGCAGGGGTGTGGGCGGAGAATCGGAGCGAGAGCCGCCAGAAAGTGGTGGGGATACTGGATCTGCGACCCCTGGCCCGCTGGAATCCTCCTCGAAGGGACGCGCTCCCAGTCCGTCAGTCTCAGGCAGGGTCCTAGATGCGAGAGGAGCGGCGGGAGCGGGGTCGGAGCGCACATCTTCCGGGCTTCCCAGAAGTTCCTAGGCTGCAAAGGGACCTCACCGGGTGGTTCCAATTCCCTTTCTCCCTGCTCGGGTGTTGGAGGCCACTTGCAAACAACTCAGCCCCCTCCCCCGCGGTACAAGCGCGCTCCCAGAGTGCAGACCTCCTATAAACACACAGGCAGTTACTGCTTTTTCAACTCCGCGCCGAGCGCTTTACTCTTTGCGATCCGATGCTTCCCTCTTTCCTCTCTCGTCTCGAATTTTCCTTCATTCTTCTATTTTATTTTTCTCTTTCTCTCATTTTCTTAAGGTGCGCGAGCGTTGCGGGCGCCGCATGTTGGCTGCGGCCCGCTTCCTGCTTTCTAATGTTCCATTGTGAGGAGCTTCCATTGTGACGTCGCGCCCCTTCGGCTGGGCTTTGTCTGTCCATATATGGGCAGCTACGTCACGGAGCTTTCCCGGGGCTCAGATAAATAGGCTGGTGGAGTTCCCTGGCTGGGAGCTTTTGGGCAGCAGTGAGCTTGCTAGGAAGCGGCGGGGCTGGTGGTGGTGGTAGCAGCGGCAGCAGCAGCGGCAGAGGCGGCGGCGGCGGCAGTGGCGGCGGTGGCGGTGGCGGCTCGGGGGGGCGGGGGGGCCGCCGGCGCGCATCTGTTTGTGAGATCAATACTGAGGCCGCATCCAACCCCCTCGGGCCGAGATTCCCCCAGCCCAGGCCGCCCCCCCACCCCCCGCACACGCCCCCCCCCAGCCTCTTACGGCACCAGCTGAGGCACCCAAGAGGATTACCCCCTTTTGCCCTATCTCCCACCCACCCCAAAAAGAGAAGATCCCCTCCCCTGGCCCACCCCTTCCCCTCTTCCCTCCCCCTCCCCCCGAACTTTCCCTCTCGCATGCTTTTCCCCTGCACCACGGATCGCCTCTCGGATGCCGCTTGCCTGGAAGCTGCGTTAGGAGCGAGCGGCAGCGGTGGCGGCGGTGGCGGCGGCGGCAGCTCGGGAGTGCTATGACCGGCAAACTCGCCGAGAAGCTGCCGGTGACCATGAGCAGTTTGCTAAACCAACTGCCTGACAATCTGTACCCCGAGGAGATCCCCAGCGCGCTCAACCTCTTCTCTGGCAGCAGCGACTCGGTAGCCCATTATAATCAGATGGCTACAGGTAAGGGCGGCGGGGAGGCGGCGAGGCAGCGAGGAAGGAGAGGGGAAGAGAGGAAGAGGAGGAGGGAACGAGCTGGCGATCTATGGATGGATGGATGGATGGATAGATGGGTGGATGGATGGATGGATGGATGGATGGAGAGGTGGGGGGCGCGCTGGGGATTTTCCGGGGGGCGAGTTGCTTTTCCCACCCACTCCTCCCGCCCTCCCCGATCGGGAAGGCTCGGTTGGCGACGCCACGGTAGAGGCTTCGGTTCTCCCGGGTGGGGGCAGCCGCCGACCAGAGGGAGGTAGGTGCGAGCGGCTCTGGGGTTCTCCACTTAGGGGGCGCGATCGCCAGGCTGCGCGCAAGGCGTGGTGCTGTCGCCCCCTTTCCCGGGAGGAGCCCAGCGTCCCTTTCACCCGCGCTCTCCCCCCTTACTCCCTCAGCCTCCCACCCGGGATGGAGCCATGTGCGGCGTGGAGTCCCCGCGGTGGGAGAGGTACTGCGACGCTGCCTTTCCGGGGCGTTCAGCAAAGCCGTGGGGGTGTGGGGACGGCGGGGAGAGGGAGGGGGGTCGACCCGCGCGGGGGCCATCACGGGGGGCGATCCCCCAGCCACGGGGCTTGGGAAGAGCGGCCACTCCCGCCATGGAAACGCGGGCCGGTTTTCGGCCGCCCTCCACCCTCGCTAGCTGAGGCTGGGCTTTCCCCCCTGCAGCAAGAGCGGAAAGCTCCTCCAGGCCTGGCGAAGGCTGGGGCACGGGAAGGCGGCGGGAGAGCTCCCTTTGCGGGCAGAACCCCTCTACGTGCCGAGGACAAAGCGTCGAAGCGCTCCGGGTCGGCGACCCGGGCGTGGTGCGCACTGGGGGCTTCGTCGGGGCAAGGAAAGGCGCGGCGTCCCGGCGCGGACAGGGCTAGGGGAAGAGGCCGAGTTCCGTGCGCTAGAGAGCGAGAGCCCGGCGCGCTCCGGGTCTCAAACTACCTGTAGCTGCAGCTACCTGCCCGCCCCACCTCGGAAACAACAACAATGCTTCTCGCGTGCGCGCGTGTGTGTGTGTGCGCGTGTGATACGTGAGTGTGTGCGCGGCGTGTGTGGTGTGTGTGTGCAGCCGCCACTCCACACCCCGATCCGTAGTATTTTGCTGTATCCAGGTTGCGCCCGGGAGCGCGGCACCGCCCGCTTTGCGCTCGGGCGCAGCTTTCCTCCTACCCCGCGCTCTCTTCGCTCCACCCGGCCGCACCCTCCACACCTGGGCGAGGACCTGGGCGCCCCGGCCCGGGAGCCGTCTCGGCTTCACTCACCCCTCCCCTCTCTTCCCCGCTCTCCGCAGAGAATGTGATGGACATCGGTCTGACCAACGAGAAGCCCAACCCGGAACTCTCTTATTCGGGATCCTTCCAGCCAGCCCCGGGCAACAAGACCGTGACCTACTTGGGAAAGTTCGCCTTCGACTCCCCTTCCAACTGGTGTCAGGACAACATCATTAGCCTCATGAGCGCCGGCATCTTGGGGGTGCCCCCTGCCTCAGGGGCACTCAGCACGCAGACCTCCACGGCCAGCATGGTGCAGCCGCCGCAGGGCGACGTGGAGGCCATGTACCCGGCGCTGCCCCCCTATTCTAACTGCAGTGATCTCTACTCGGAGCCTGTGTCTTTCCACGACCCCCAAGGCAACCCCGGGCTCGCCTATTCCCCCCAGGATTACCAATCGGCCAAGCCGGCCTTGGACAGCAATCTCTTCCCCATGATTCCTGACTACAACCTATACCACCACCCCAACGACATGGGCTCCATTCCGGAGCACAAGCCCTTCCAGGGCATGGACCCCATCCGGGTCAACCCGCCCCCCATTACCCCCCTGGAGACCATCAAGGCGTTCAAAGACAAGCAGATCCACCCGGGCTTTGGCAGCCTGCCCCAGCCGCCGCTCACGCTCAAGCCCATCCGGCCCCGCAAGTATCCCAACCGACCCAGCAAGACCCCGCTCCACGAGCGGCCCCACGCGTGCCCGGCGGAGGGCTGCGACCGCCGTTTCAGTCGCTCGGACGAGCTGACCCGGCACCTGCGCATCCACACGGGCCACAAGCCCTTCCAGTGCCGGATCTGCATGCGGAGCTTCAGTCGCAGCGACCACCTTACCACTCACATCCGCACGCATACGGGCGAGAAGCCCTTTGCCTGCGAGTTCTGCGGGCGCAAGTTTGCGCGCAGCGACGAGCGCAAGCGCCACGCCAAGATCCACCTCAAGCAAAAGGAGAAGAAGGCGGAGAAGGGGGGTGCGCCCTCTGCGTCCTCGGCGCCCCCAGTGTCCCTGGCCCCTGTGGTCACCACCTGCGCCTGAGGCTCGGGCCCCCAGATCCCCACTTTTCCCCTGCAGTGTCTCCCAGCTGCTCGCCTGAAAGCAGCGGGGAAAGCTAGCCACGGAGGCGCAGGGGCCGCGCCCTGGCCTCTCCATGGACGTAAGGTCCCTTGTTCCCCTTCGATGTCCCCCGTTTCCACCCTTTCACACCGGCCAACGGTCGGGGGCCAGGGCAGGAGGCGCCCTCCCTTCGCTGCCCCCCCCTTAACCAAGGCGTGGGGGCGGAAAGGTGGCGTCTAGCCCGCTTTGTTCAGTGCGGATCGTCTTGATCCAGGGGCCGCTGGGCCGCGCCAAGGACCTGCGGGGGACTGAAGGCGGGGCCCGCCCAAGCCTCGCCCGACCCAAGCACCTCACGGTTCCCCCCACGTCTCCCTCGGTTCCCCCTCGAAGACCCGAGAGGGGGAGGGGGTAAGGAGCGCACCAAAGCGCAGAGCTTGCCGCCCGCCGCACGCACGCGCGCCTGCGTGCGGGGATGCGCCGCGCGAGTGTGCGTGCTCGCGTGAGTGTTATGTGTGTGGGAGTGTGGGTGTGCGCGCGCGCGCACGCGTGTGTGTGCGTGTGTGTGTATGTGTGTGTGAGACTCTTGAGCTGAACTGGGCTGTGTCCACCCCAAACTCTTCCCTACATCGGGTCCCCAGGCCGCTGGGGGAATGTCCCAGGTTGGGGGCCTGCACGTGGCCGGAGGAGACGGTCTTCCATCTGCTCGGAAATCATGTTTCTTACAGAAATGCCTCAGATGCCGCCGTGGGGCTTCTACCGCCGTATAGGGGTGGCCCCTCAGCACCCCTCCTTTTCCGAGCGCTTCCCTCTCAGGCCTCAGGGCAGTTTGATCTGCGGGGAGAAGGAGCAGCCATCACTAAACCTGCCTTGTAACAGATCTATGTCCTCAAGCCCCACTTTCCAAAAGCTGTGTTGCTGAGTTCGCTCCTCTGCCCTTTTTCCCCCTCCTCTCCCTTCTCTCTAAAGCCTTCTCCCATCTCTTTCAAAATCTTCTTCCAGAAAGGCAGGCCTCAACCAGCCACCTCATTTCACCATCTTTCTGTTTTCGCTCACTCATACCCATTTCTCCTTCTCCCCAGTGATGGGAAAGCAGGCTCATTTTTTCGTCCTTTGTCACTGCCCACACAACAGGTAGAATTCAAAGCTGTGTATATGGTGTGTGTGTGTGTGTGTGTGTGTGTGTGCATGTGTGTGTATACACACATGTACATACATACATACATATACATATATATATATAACACACAACATGTACTCTCAGCAAAATAAAATCTCCAAGGCACTTGGTGATCCAGTGCAGCGCACTGGAGTAAAGAGAATTTGTAGGTATATAAGCTTTAAATGATTTATTTTTTATGAAAAATTTAACCGATGAGATTGTATCTACATAGATGTGTGTGTGTGTATATACACATATATATGTATGTACGTGTACGTGCATATACACACATACACACATCTCTGTCCAAATTTTCCTTAAAGATAGGGGTATTTTTGCATTCATCCCTGTTGCTGAAATGAGGCATTATCTTTTCCGCACCCAGCTCTCACTTTCTCCCCGCCCTACCTCACCTCTTCTCAGGCACCCCCCCCCCTCCCTAGCACTTCCTCCCCCCACACACAGGGGTGACTCTTTTGAAATGGAGTAGTAGGGAAGGTTGCTCTCTGACACAGCTTCCAGCAGTCTTGACTGAATGTACTGTTCCCTCTTAGCGTTATTTCTCCTGCGGTCACTAAGCTGCCCAGAGAGAAGGAACAAAGGTCTGGAGTTTACAGAATGTCTGTTTTTAAAGTCACTTTATGCGTTTCCCACTTTTTTTTTTTTTTTTAAGAAAAAAAGCACCGGGGGTTTTTGTTTGTTTGTTTTTTTGTTCTTTGGGTTTGTTTTTTGTTTCCTTTGGTGGTGGATAAATAATACTAAAGAGTCTAGTGAAAGGGGAAAAAAATCAAAGAGCAGGGGGATTGTGAGTTTCCAGGTACTTGGACTTTTTTGTAGAAGGAGAGAGAAGAGGATGAAGTTTGCCAGGAGGGCCCATATTTTTTCAGCTGAAGGGTAAAATCTTTCTTTGCAGAGACAGTATTTTGCTGAATACTTTTTATAATGTGATGATTATTAAAAACAAAAATTTTGGTCACTTCAAAGCTGGAAGGAGGAATCAAATATCCTTTAATATTTTTTCCTTGCTCCTTCTGGTTTATGCATGTCACTGCATGATAATCTGAGTTTTCCTTTGTTTTAATAAAACTGTTCTCAGACATTTAAGCTTAAACTAAGAGAAAAATAACTTTGTTGCCAAAAGGTTGTGCTATCCAGATTTTTTTATATGTCTGCATGTTTTAAAAAAACAACAAAAGAAAATGCACTCTAACTTATGTGAACTGAGAGAAAAAAATCAGGTTTTAAACAGGAAAACCTATGGGGAATGATATTTTTTGAAAGACTTTTGTATAAAGTTGAGTACTTAGAAAAAGACAAACCAGATGTAATATATTTTGTGGATGTTTTTATTTCTTGGATTTATAGTACCTTATACTAAGGTTAAAAAAATATGCTTGATATTGTGAAAAGGTGAAATTCTTCACCAACATTTCATTTGCTCCTTTGTCACATTGTTATGCCAATATAATATAGTTAATGAAAACAGCATTTTTAAAAACCGAAATATTGAAATGGTGTAATGTTGTACCATTTGCACTGTGAGCAAATGCTAATACAGTAAAGATATTGTGTTTGCTGACAATCAGCCGGCCTATTAATCTCCTTATTTTATTTCTTGTTTTCATAGTATAAAGTTTTGGTTTGGCCTGTTTTTTTGTCTTGTTTTGTTTTTGGCTGAGGGTTGGTTTGATAGGTTCTTGTACCAGGCTTTGTTGCTCTTGCTCTGAAAACTCAATGTGAGACCTGGAATTTGGCATCATGAGAAGCTGGTCAGAATTTGGCGCGGGTTCTGCTGTTTCAAACCCAGTGTCGAGTGTTTACAGTGGTTCTGAGAGAAAAGGATTTTTCCTCCACGCTGCTGGGAGTCTCAGACTGCCAGAGAGATGAGGCGGGCAGATGAGATAAACCCGTGGGAATCGGAACTGGTGACTGGAAGCTTCTAGAACCCTTCTCATTGGTTTCTAATGGCTATTGAGGGTAGAGACGTGGGGATCTTCTAGTGGCTAAACTATAGCTCTGGTGCTAACAAGGAGCACCAGAGCAGGACCCTGTGGAATCCCTAGAGCCACATTGAGTAGTGCTCTTGCTACAGCTTTTGAAGCCTGAAAAACAGGTGGAGACTTGAGAGAGGGTTCTTCACGGTTGGCAAGATAACCAGAAAGATTGGAAGCTCTATTGTGGTCAGATAATTGGGAAAAATCAGATTTAAAAATTATGCAACTTCAGCCCCACTTGGGCAGGACTCTCCAGGCCTCACTATTTGTAGCTGCCTGGGAAAGAGGGTTTTGGCTGAAAAAAAGCAGCTTTTACGAACTCCCCGGGATCCAATGCTTCTGAGATTTGGAGGACATACAAGGAATATTTTATATAGCATTAACCCCTCACATCTTATGACTTCTATCTCCCATAGAGGTGATGCCACCGCCACTCTTTGAGCTTTCTTCCCCCAGAACCTTGCTCTTTCTTGACTGAGTTCATTGGCCAACCCTAGAGCTTTCTCCCTGTTCTCTTAAAGAGATACATACCCACCCACTTTCTTTGTGCGTCCCTGGCTCCACTCTGCTCCCTTCACCTTATTTACAATCCTTTATCTTCCTGCAGCTTGTTCTAGAATGATCCTTGGACAGATCAGTCCTTTTTCTCCCTTTCTTCCTGCCTGCCCTCTAAAACACTCAGTTGGGCTTTTCTGTTATGTATTTTGTGTGTCATCTGCCTCACTGAAGCTTGGGGGCAGGGGCTCGGTGTCTGCGCGCTGCATAGACATAGACGTAGATACAGCAACTGGGGGACCATGTCTTGCCGCCTGAAGCAACCATACAGTGACAGAAATGGAGTACAGCATCCCTGCTCAGAAACTGCTCTTGCTGCCCCTGTCAGGCCCATTGCCCCGAAAAATGTGGGTGGTATTTCGGTTGGCTTCAGTTACTGAGAAGTTGAGGGCAGACCCGAGTGTAGGTGGTGGGCCGTGGCCTTAGAAAAGAATGTTTTTTGAAGTGTGAGATCAATAAAGAGAATGCTGTATGGAATCTTACATTTTCTCACCCACACAATTCTAGGTCACAGGCTGCCATCTTGAATTCCCTTCTTTCACCTCATGACACTTTCGAAATTCCAAACTGCAACTATAGCCACAAGGAAGTATCCTTTTTTTTTAGCAAAGGGAATCCAAGATGGCTGAAAAGCCCTAAAGATTGAGCATATAACCCACCTCTTTGCTAAACTAGATATTTGCTTCCAGATTTCCATGTGTTTTTCAAGGGCATATTTATCAGAGAAGGATAGCGTCACTGGGTGTCTTCATAGTTAGCATCCGGCCCCACCTGCACCTTCTCCAATCAAATCAGGCCCTCAGAGTTATACTTTCGTCAACAGTGTACTATGCTGCATGATTAATAAACTCACTTCCCATTGGTGCATATTACTCAACCCAACCTGGTTCAACCACTGGGTTACTTGACAATATGGCAGCCCGCCTGGCTGGCACCAGCCCTGTGTGGTGTAATCTCTGATTCATACTTTGTAGCTAGATAAGGCTGTCCCAGATAGCATCATACCAGCAACCCAACCTGCCTGGGTTTTGTAAGTATGGGGAGAGGAAACTCAACCTTCACACTTAGGGATGAAGTGGAGAGATGGTAGAGGAAAGGGCTGGATAGAGCTATCAGGAGAAGGAAGCAATGGAAGCTTGGCCGGGAGGAAAATCAGGCATAGAAATATGGAAGGGGCTTAACTATGTCCAAAGTAAGCTATAAGGTGTTTAGGGTGAATGAAAGGATTTCTCTCTATCTTCCTCTCTCTCTCTCTCTCGTCTTGGGAGTGGCTTTACCGGAGGTGATGACTCTTTGCAAAATTGGACTCCATGAACTAGGGCTGGGTACAATGGAGGAGATACTTCATGAGAAGCGGGGGCAAGGAGTGGCTTATTTTCTAATGGTGGGGGTAGTAGTGATGTAAGTGTGGGTCTACATATTCTTCTCAACTATATAAAAAGGAATAGCAAGGTAGATCCCGACGATAGCAAGGTAACGGCTAATGGCCAGTGGCTATGGATCCCCTTTTACTAATCCAGAACTTGCCTGCCATAGATGAGGGGTTGTGGGCTACATTTTCCTGGCCTCAGTTGGTTGGCCCTCCTGGTGCCGTGGAATAATAAGCCTGAGGAAAGTACAAGGCCTCTGCGTGTCCCAGAGACCAGAAGTCATACTAGCAAATTCTTAACAACTGGGGGGAAATGGCTTTCTAAAAGGTGCCATGTGGTTTTCAAAAGAGGTCATAATCCTTAATCTATCCCAAGTGGTTCTTTTTAGAAAACCCACTCTTGATATGGATGGGAATGAGGTTTCCAGAGGAATAAAAAAGATCTAAGGGACTCTTGGAGCCCCTTGGCCACCCCAGTCCCCGGGACAAGGCTGCAAGCAGTCAGGCCCCTGTCAGTCATCCACAGTGGCCGGGGACATGTCTGGCCTGGTCAGCCTCTCCCAAAATCCCAGCTCTGGAAACTTCACCCCTGTTTTTGCTTGAAGGTTCACTTCTATCCCATCTCTCATATTTTCAACAATTGGTCATTTTCAAGGAACAGAGGTCATGTTCATAAGTAGCTGACTTGTCCATGACGGGGGAAGGAAGGGACCAGACCCTGACTCACTTGCCTAGGATCCTGATTCCCCATTCTCGTCATGGTTGCCTTGTCTGGCATTTGAAATTGGGACAGTCCCTGCCTCCACCTCTGCTGGCCACCAGGAGCCCAGTGCTCCTCAGCCCTCTGACCTGGGCGTGAGAACAGTATTTTTTCCCTTCTGGCAAACACGCAGATGGCTGGAAGAAAGGTTTCTGAGGAATCTTACAAAGGAGCTGAAGCACACAGAACATGGCCAAAAGCTGCAAACAAGAATGAGAGAACCCAAGCTTCTAGATGGTACTGGCTGCTCACTAGGAAGGCTCTCATGTTGAGGCTGAGTGGGAGTTTGGCCGCCGTGTGGTTTCTTTAATGTTGCCTCGCCTGCTTCTTGGCCTCGTCTCCAGGAAGGCCCTTGCACGTCCTCTTAGGACGAAGATGTGGGGCTTCACCAGGTTACTGATATCTTCCTCTCCTCTCAAGGTCCCAGGACAGGGGACAAAGAAGTTGCTCTCCTGGACCTCAGGAAGCCCACCCAGCGCCTACAGCCTCTCCTTCACCGATTCCTGGGAGCCTCTGTGATTCCACAACCCTCCCATCCTCTCACTGCCCAGCTGTGTTCTCTGGGCCCTGCTCATTTTGCTTGGAACACAAATGCAAGTCCTTCGTGCTGGCTCTCCCAGTGAGGCCTGCCCAGGGCCGACAGCCATCTTTACCTCAGGCCTTCACAGTGGCATCATGGCCCACACAGAAACAGACTGCTCTGTTCTGAACTGGCCGACAGCTGACTTGAGTCCCTGTTTGAGTTCCCCACTGAGTTCCTAGTTATAGTCTTAGGAATGCTTCTACCTCTTGGTTCCCAGGGGGAAAAAGAGATGTCAGACGCCACTGAGGCTGGGGACACCCCAACCCTCCAGAGGGGAAGTTACCTTTGTCTCTACACCTGTCTTGTTTGGGGTGGCTGCCACCCCCACCAAGAATCAGGTCCCTGTCTCCAGCACAGAGAGAGAGAGAGACATTAGTGACCAGAACAGACTGGGGCCTCCAGGCACGTTGGCTTCTTCTCAAGCACAGGCTGCAAGAGCTCTAGCACTTTCTATTCCTTAGCGTTTTGCTCTCCCCTCCCAGGGGGTCTGTGCCCCTGAAGGTCTTCCATTCTTCCTTGTCCCCTTTTCCTCCCTGCTTAGGAAGGTCAGGCCCTCCAAGCAGGAAGGCAGAAAATTTCTAGTGCCTGTGTGACCCCAGGGTCCTAAGGAAAGTCTCCTTTGGGGCACTGGTTCATTGCTCAAGACTCCGTCTTAAAACCTGGGAGGTGGTTTGATAAGCCAGCTCCTTGGCTTTTCCCTTGGGGCCCTTAGCCTGCTCTGGAGTCACCATCTCCATCTCCGTTGGCATCTCAGCTCCGCCACTTGCTTACGGTGTGACCACTGACAGATTTCTTAGTCTCTCCCAACCTGAGTTTCCTCCTCTGGTCTTAGCCCGCCATCATGGAGTTCCGAGCACATAAAGGATATGGAACCTGGTTCTCAGTGGATGCTCTGTACATGTTACTTCCTTTCTTCGTCCCTTGCCCTGTCCCCTTTCCCGCACCCTCCAAACACAGAGGCAAGAAAGCAAGCTCTGTGTCTGCCAGAGATCCACACACCAGTTCAAATGGAGCGGCGGCAACCTCCGGTCCTCACCACCCACCCCCAGCTCCAGCCCTCCGCGGGACATCTGTATGCTGAAAATGGATCCTCTCTACCGCTCTCCCACCCCAAGTCCACCCAGAGGACACAGTCCGTCCCGTCTGCTCCCGGCTGCAGCTGCTGTTCATTGTTGCCATTTCCTGGCTGGCTCCTGACCCCATCCCAGGTCCTCTCGTCTCTCTCACTTCGCTGGGTGGATATGACACTTTCCCGATGCGGTATCATCTGCAAAGTTAATTAATGTGTCATTGGGCTGTTGCCTGCTTCCTGATCCTTATCGGGGATTTCAATAAAACGCAGCAGCCCCAGTTCCTCCCCGTCTGTCCCTCTCCCTGGATCTGAGGCTTGTTCTTAGTCATCCATCCTTGACCTCTACCTTCTGGCCAGTTCTCAGCTTCCAGCCTCAGGGCTGAGGGAACTGCCCCAGCCCAAGCCTAGTCTGGGAGCAGAAGCACCATCCAGGGCTGTCCTGGCCGT